TATACTGAAATTGGGTATCTATTATAGCCACAACCAGCCGTGGCTATAAGGTGTACTGAAATCGGGTATCCTTTATAGCCACAAACAGCCGTGGGCTATAAGGTATACTGAAATTGGGTATCCTTTATAGCCACAAACAGCCGTGGGCTATAAGGTATACTGAAATTGGGTATCCTTTATAGCCACAAACAGCCGTGGCAAAAGGTATGCTGAAATCTATACTGAAATCAGGTACTGATCTATTATAGCCACAACCAGCCGTGGCTATAAGGTATACTGAAATTGGGTATCCTTTATAGCCACAAACAGCCGTGGCTATAAGGTATACTGAAATTGGGTATCTATTATAGCCACAAACAGCCGTGGCTATAAGGTATACTGAAATTAGGTATCCTTTATAGCCACAAACAGCCATGGCTATAAGGTATACTGAAATTGGGTATCCTTTATAGCCACAAACAGCCGTGGCAAAAGGTATGCTGAAATCTATACTGAAATCAGGTACTGATCTATTATAGCCACAACCAGCCGTGGCTATAAGGTATACTGAAATTGGGTATCCTTTACAGTCACAACCAGCCGTGGCTATAAGGTATACTGAAATTGGGTATCCTTTATAGCCACAAACAGCCGTGGCAAAAGGTATACTGAAATCTATACTGAAATCCGGTACTGATCTATTATAGCCACAAACAGCCGTGGCTATAAGGTATACTGAAATTGGGTATCATTTACAGTCACAACCAGCCGTGGCTATAAAGTATACTGAAATTGGGTATCATTTATAGCCACAAACAGCCGTGGCAAAAGGTATGCTGAAATCCGGTACACTTTATAGGCACAAACCGCCGTGGCTATAAGGGAAAGTACATTTATTACACCGAGGGAGGGGGATGAAGATGTCTTGAAAAAAGCTCATATTTTTACAGGGCCCCTGTTGAGGTTATCGGTAAATTTCGATGCCCCCCCCCTCCAAGTTTTTAAAATTTTCAATGCCCCCCCTCTAGAATTCGGAATCGAAGGAGTACAATCCGGAATTCTCTCTTATCATAGAACAATTTGCAGTTCCTCAAGATGTCTGATATACTCAAGTGCTTCTCCTCAACAAAACTACGTGAACCGCAAAATGCGAAGTCTTACACGCTTTTCAGCGTGGGGCCGTGGGCCCGTGGGTGGAATACGCAAAATTATCCTAAGTTATCCTGAAGAGA